TTAGTAAAAATGTTAATTATAGTTTGGATAATAGAAGTTGATAGAGCAAGTCGAGCAAGTGAGTATTGGAGTAGAGAGAAATTAACAAAATCATAAGCTTTACTCATATCTTGAGACAAAAGCCATATATTTTTGTAGTTACATATAGCATCCTCAATTAGATTATTAAGGATATGTATAGGAGTTGCAGTAGAATTTCCAAGTAGAGCAACATAGTTGAAGAGTGATAGAATAGGATATTTTTGAATTACAGTACTGAGTCGATTGATAATAATTTTAGTATAGATTTTGCAGATATATTCTACAAAACTAATTTGTCGAGTAAGATTGAGGTTGCTATCAAAAGTATTATATTTGGGTATAGAAAATATTCTACTATTTTTCTATTGTTTTAGAATTTGACCCTAGATAAGACAAAGATTAAAAAGAACTGTGAGAGCTTGTAAATATATTAGACCAGAGTGCTTGATCATTTTGTAGCTAATGCCAGTAGGCCCACAAGCTTTGCTATTTGGGAGCTTAGAGATAATTGAAGTTATTTCTTTAATTGTAATTGATAAAGTAAGAGTGTTATACTAGTCAGGATTAATATAGATTTGTGATAGGTATTTTTGTTGCCAAGAGCTATCAAAAAGTGTTTGATTAATAGGTTTATAAGCAGTCTAATTATGAAAATGCTGTTGAATATGTTGTTTGATAAGAGTTGGCTCAGTGATTAATTAATCTGGTAATTTAATATTTGAGAAATATATAGGGGCTTGATAGCGATTAAGAATACTATTGATAGCATATGTAGGTTTGCTGACAAAAGTCTCACACCTCTTCTCAGAAGCTTGTTGGATTTGTTGATAAAGAAGAAGAAAGTTTTCAGTATAGCATACTTGGTACAATTGGTACCATATATCTTTAGCATAATTTATCTATTCTAGAATTTGAGCAGAATTTAAACTTAAAAGAGTTTGAAGATTATATTGAGATCGTGAATTAATGTTCTAAATTTGTGAGTTAACTAGAGAAATATCTAGAGTTGTATTAGTATTTTTTAAATTTTTAATTAGATAGCTGAGTTTTTTAAATGACAAGTATAGTTGTGTGCTATGAGATATGTATTTGTGATTATAGCTACATTTATAGCTGATTTTGTTTAGGATAGTTGATGTAGTAGTACATATAATAGAATGTTAAATCTTATGCCATATAGTATCTATACTTTTAGAGGTTTGTAATAATAATAGTATTTGATGTTGATTGAGTTTTGTTATAAGAAGATCTAAAAACTCAGACCAATTTTCTGAGATCATATCTTTATAATTAAATATATGACAGCTAATATCTATATGCAAACAAGAAGGTTTGCTATAAATATTAGAAAATATTCAAGATGAATTAAGTATAAGATGATCACTGCGAGTACTAGTATCACTGGTATCTAGTTTATATGACAAGAAGAACTGGATGTTAAACTGATTAGCCTAGATATAATCAATTCTGCTAGAGTAAGTGTTGTTAGACCATATATAGTGAGTATTATCAAAATATGCACCAATATCATACATATTGGAATGGTGTAAAAAGTTTATAAGTCTATATTTTGTTGAAGAACTGAAGTTGGAATCATGTGTATTGAAATCTTCAAGAATAATAGGATAAAGATTATATTGTAAAGCAGACTGAATTCAATTAATAACAGTAGGTTGAGTAGTAGTTCTTTTTGTCATATCTGTAGAAGAAAGATAGACTGAGATAATATGAAGCTTAATGTTGCTTTTAAAAAATAGATCAATAGCAACAGTACTACCAGGGTAGATAAAACAATTGTGAATATGTGGTTGAAGAAAGTTGTGTATCATAATAGCAGCATCTTCTGCTGAGCTATCTGAATTGGCTCAGAAATATGTAAAAAAATTATTATTATAAAAGGATAAGTTAGATTTTTTTGAAATTTTGTTTTAGTAATGCAAGCAATACTAATGTTATGATCAAAACAGTAATTTTACTAGGTTTCTTTTTTAGTAGTTGTGTTAAAACCACAAATATTATGTGTTGCAATATTAAGGTGCAAATCTCTAACATAGCTGGTCTGTTGGTTAGTAATATACATATAGGCTGATTTGTGAAATTAGCTAATAACTTTTGATTTACAAAATCGTTTTTGATAATTCAACTATCAAAATGTTCATCTCAATGAGACAATTCTAATGAGTCCAAAATCACCAAAATCCAATCACAGGGTCCTAAGATCACTCAAATTTTGTATAATTTTAATAAAGATTTTAAAATTGCTTCAAAAACAGCTTTTATAGTAAATAACTTTTGATCTACTGGTCTGTTTTGGATGATTTAACCACCAAAACGTTCGTCTCAATGAGATGATTCTAATGAATATAAAATAATTAAAATCTAATCACAGGATCCCAAGATTGGTAAAAATTAGTGTATGTGTAGACAATCAACGAAGAAATGGGTTGCATATATAAAGTTTATACAGTGCAGGACACCTTAAACCAGCAAGTAAAAAAAGCAATTTTTAAAAATTCATTATAAAAATGAAAAATTAAGATATTCAAAAAATTTTTTTTGTAAAAATGTAAAGGAAGATAAAATAAACAAAGTTACAAAACCTATTTATTGATTTGTTAAAATTTGGTGGTGTTAAATACTTTTAAGGAGTGACTATTTTTATTAATTATTAATAGTAAAAATGCAAAAATTTGGCCGGCCTACCAAAATCATGTGATCCGAAATGTATGATCGTGATTGGTCAAAAAAAAACTATTAAATGTCAGATTTTCGATAATCTACTTTTTTTTTCAAAAGTATTGCCTTTGGTAAGCGACCTGGTCGCAAAGATAGTTTCTATTACTGTCTGTTAATTATAAGCCAAACTATAACACCGCTATATATCACCAAAAACTATGCCACAATTATCCAAAAGAAAGTTACAATTAAAGAAAAGTCGAGAAATAAGAAAAGCCAAATATCAGCGCAATGCAAATAACGAAACAAATAATGAAACAAATAACAAAGTGAATAACAAAGTGAATAATGAAACAAATAACGAAGCAAATAACGCCTTTAAAAGGTTATTGCAGGCAGTTGCTAAAGTAAGTACTTATCGACTACTTGTGTATATTGGGAATTCGAAAAGATCAAGAAGGCACCGGAGGCAAATACAACGGGAGGCAGCAGTCAGAACATCTAAATTAAAATCATTTTGGTCACAAGTAAGGCTTTTTTTTTTTTTTGTTTAATTAATAAATTATGGATTTGGGCTTATCTTTGGGATTATGATAGGTAACCACGAATATTAATTCTTCCAGTTCAGATAATAATTCTGAAACTGAAACAGAATCTGCCTCAGAAATTGAGGACAATGTAAATTATATAATCTTGCTATTGAACAACTGGAAAATGAAGTTAAAAGTAACAGTCACAATGAGATTGAAAGTGCTTGCCTCAATGCAATGTTATCTTACCTTCGCCTTGTAAAATGTGGTGAGGGAAAACTAAGGCTAGTGTTACTGTGGCTAAAGCCACCGGAAAAAACATTTATCGTGCTCGTTCTATACGAGCTTGGACATCAAACTACCTTCAAAATGGCACTTTGCCAGTATCGAGACAAGGAAAACATCCGAAAACATGGGGTTTTTTGTGGGATGATAATGTTTTATTACAGATCAAATCTTTTCTTCGATTAAACAAATGGTGTATCTCTTCTAAAGATTTGACAAATTATATAAATGATAAGGTGCTTCCCAAACTTTGTTTTGATCTATCACCAAAAATAAGTATAAGAACAGCCCGCAGATAGATGAATAAGTTTGGGTTTGAATATTCAGAAGATAAAAAAGCATGTACATGGATGGCCATAAGCGAGCAGACATTTTAGCTTACCGGGAACTTTTTTTAGAAAGGATAGTGAACTATAAAAAAAAAATGATTAGTTTTTCAGGTGAAAATATAGAAATAGAAACCTGGCCAGATGTTAATCAAGTTATAATTCTGGTGATACATGATGAATGTATTTTTTCTGTATATGATGGAAGATGCCGATTATGGAAACCGAAGGAAGAACAACCACTTCATAAAAAAGGACAAGGACGGTCCATTCATGTGAGCGATTTTCTTACTGATGTTGCTGGGCAGTTGGTACTGCGTGAAGAAGATGAGGTATAAAAGTTTTGTTTACTTTGACTTACCTTTTTTGTGGTGAGACAATTCTAATTAAAGTTTTTTAGTTTTTTTTCCTAATATTCCAACAGAAGCATACGTTATAACATACCCGGGGAAAAATAGTGATAGGTGGTGGAATTCTGATGACTTAGTGAACCAAGTGGTAGAGTGCGCAATCCCAATATTTGAGGCACGTTTTCCAGGTGCGAAGGCCCTTTTTGTATTTGATAATGCAACCAGCCATGCTGCATATGCAGACAATGCTCTTGTAGCAAATAATATGAATTTGTCACCCGGTGGAAAACAAGCAAAAATGAGGTTTGTTTAGAAATATATCTCACGTGGAGTAAATCTCGCATATATATTCACACACCTCATGCAATTTGCATGAGGTGTATGAATATATGCTAGATTACCTCATGTGAGGTACATTTTTATGTTTATTTATGTTAAATTTATTAAATTTTTTACTATATTTATGTTTTGTGTACAAATATGCAGAAGCACCACATATGGAAATAACATTAGACAAGATATGTGCTTCTCTATGGATTACAAGATCCCTGAATTGCGCAAAGAACCAAAAGGTTTAAGAGAAATTTTAAAAGAAAGAAAATTGTGGCATGATGAAATGAAGTTGAAGTGTAAAGGTGGATATGAAAAAGAAAGCATTAATTGTTGTGCAAGAACAGCAATAGCAAACCAACCAGATTTTAAAGCACAGCGTAGAAAACTTGAAGAAGCAATTATTTTGGCAGGCTATGAAGTTATATTTATCT